AGTGGTTTAACTAAAAAAAAAAAGATTTTTTTTTTTTAACCAAAAACGTCCCGGAACGCATCAAAAACGCGGCACAACCCACTGCACTGCGTGTGCAGAAACCTGAGCGGATCTGCTCTGCATTTGGTATGAACAAGGCCTGAGGCTTGAGAATTATTTCAAGGGCACAGTGGTTAAAAAATACTGGCTGTGATGTTTTTTAGATATCCTTTCCAGTGACAGTCTGTCAATCACCAAGTATTTTTTCCACCTAGAGAGAGGGCTGGCTTAGGCTAGAGGGGCGAACTGTGTGGCAGTTGTCAGGCTGTTGCCTCCCTGGTTGGCTTCTTCAATAGCTTATAGTTCAACCCAGCCTGGCAAACAGTGTAGACCAAACGTATAATAATGTCTTATCACACTAAAATTGAAATGTACCTTCTTGGTTTAGGTCATATCCTTGCTAGCTGCAGTCCTACACAAGACAGGAACACGAGAGGACATTGAAAATAATATGCCTGAATTTTTACTGAGAACAATGAAGAAGAAATGTTCTACAGAATCCGTGAAAAGGGTAATGTTACACAGTTTGCTTGAAGTTTTAATGCCAAGTTTCTTTGTTTCTACACCATGATGTAAGTTATTGGTAAAGTCAGAAAGCAACACCTCTGCCTATCTGGGTAATAACTTATTTGGGATTGTTACATGTAATGTCAGAGCCTTCAGGTTGACAGCAGATTGCATTGTATTTTCTGTGCATACAGGTTTTGGGTTGTTACCTGAAAGTTATTTTGATGTGTTGTGACTTTCCAGTTTATTGTATTACATATACATTTTTGCCGAATCTCCCTCTAGCGGTTATCGATATTTTGGATGGCCGGTCAACATCCGATGCTCAACAACATCTCAGAAAGTTCTCTCTTTTTCTGTCAGCCTGATAAGTTTGACATCATAAGGCAATAGATAATGGAATTAAGAGGTGGGTCAAGTCACCACATCTGTTAGGCATACACTATTTTTTGACCAAAGAGGCCAGGCTTTATTGGTACCAAAACAATTGCATTGTTATTCAAATATAATTTTTATTTAAATATTAAAACTAGGGATGTCCCGGTACTGGTGCCGGTATCGGGACCGATACTGGGCATTTTCAGGAGTACTTGTACTCTTGAGAATGCCCCGATACTAAAGGCCCATACCGGCCCTTTAAATTTTAAAAAACAGATCGGCTGTCGAGGTCTCGCGCTTGTGTGAACCTCACCAGTCTGCTGGGGACCTGGCGGTAGCTGTCCTTGGCAGTGCCTGTCCGGTCACATATCTCCTTCGCCTCCTTCCCGGAGCAGGCACAGCCAAGGAAAGCCGCAGACTGAACAAACAGCCCCGAAGACGGCAGGAGATCGTTCAGCCCAGCGAGCCCGGTGAGACGCAAACGCAGCCCTGATGAGATCTGTACACAGCCTGGTGAGACGCAAACAGTTGATAGCAGTTCAATGTGTTCCAATTCACCCGTAGTAGCTCAATGGTAAGAGCTTTCCCACATAGTGACCAACAATAGAGGGTCATTGTCCTGATCACAATGTAGATTTTTTTTAATAGATATTATAATAATATATTAAATGTCATATTCTATATTATATTCTAATACAGCTATTTTTGGATAGCTTTCTAGAGAAAAATTATATCCTCTGCCATTTGTATATTATGTTTACTTCACCGTTAGAGAGACTTCCCTTTTAAGCTGGCTGTATACTGAGCGAATTTTGACCATTTCTCAATGAACATACTGAAATTGCCTGCAATGTTTATCCTAAAGTAAGTTTTGATATGACTCAAATTTGCCACACTTGCTTCTAGATATTTGCTACTGCATTAAATATGGACAGGTGTAGCCTAGCCACTAGAATCAGAGCAGATTAGCTAGTGTGCCTAAAGCCAAAACTTGTTTTGGATAGAGTGTGTGCTTCCATAAAGTGTATGCTTCCACACACTGTTCAAAACTAGAACAAAAAAGTTTGGGATTTAGATATACTCAACAAGTACAACAATGATGTGCCGAGCTATAAAAAAATCGTATCTATATGTGTAAGAAAATTACACGAAATATGATTTTTTATGTCATATTCCTTTTCTCGAAGCATAGGGTGGAAAAGTTCAATAATAGATGATTGTTTACGTTGTTGCATAAAGTTCAGAATGTGTTTAATTTAAAGTTACAAAATATTACAGGATATGGTATATCTTACAGAATGAGTCTATAAGATGCTTGATGATTACAAAATATAGTATATCTTACAGCAGAAATCTATAAGATGCTTAAGAAACGTGTGTGTAGTTAGTAAGTAAAAATAATCCTAACAGGTGTCTGTCTATTCAATGTGAGTGTGGGTGTGTCTGTGTGATGCTGTGCATGTGTGTGTGTCTGTAGTGTGAATGAGTGTGTGAGTGTGAGTGTGTGAATGTGTCCCCCTTCAAGGAACATCCCTCATCCTTTTATCCATGCTTTTACTTTAAAATAACCTATGTGATGTTTACCTTAAAAGTCTTTCTGATTAGCATAAGGGAGTGCCATACTCTAGTAGCTGAGTCATGTGTTCTCCTTCTATCCCATTTTGGGCATCATAGTCTATGTCCTGAGTAATGTGGTTTATTCTTCAAACTCATTTTAAAGGCCAAGTCTTCTTTGGGCATTCCCAACAACTGTTTCAACTATACTTAGGTCTGCCTGTCAGGCTTACTGATTGATTACCAATTGTAAACTCAAAATCAGCAGTACAGTAAAAAACTGAATCTCCAAACTTGGATAGATTAAAATATAGAAAATCAATCATCATTTAAGGTTCACACATACATATTTCAATATCTGTTTTTAACAATATGAAACAAAGTGAATAAAGTCCACACAAAAATAACCAAGAAAAAGTCCAGTGTATAACAGTAATGAATAAGTGAAAAAAAAACTGCAGAGGGTAGTCCACCACAATGAATGAGATCTTCTGGATTGCAGCAACTACAAAGTTCTAACTGAAACTTTCACCTCCACCCAGTGGGAATAGATGATGGACAGGTGCTCACCTGAGGGAATGAACCCACAAAGCAGGTCTCGACACACATAACCCTTCTTAAATAGGGGAGGGAAGCCCATATAGATGATGACAAATGGATCCTCTCGGGACCGCGGGCATCGATATCATGTTAAGAGGAAGTAGATACAGGAGACATAGCACGTATCATCCAGCATGACACAATTTATTAAAAATGAACAGGTATTCACAATATAGCAGATGAAAAACAGCGTAAAATGAACCGAATGACACTATGTGTGGGATGGATAGAAGTGACGGCACTCCCATCCGTCTAGCCCAGCTGAGATGGTGACGGCGAATGCTCCGCCCTATGTACGTTACGTCTCACACGTGACTTTGCTAGGGGTCTCTGTATTGTTATATTGTTGTATTATACACTGGACTTTTTCTTGGTTGTTTTTGTGTGGACTTTATTCACTTTGTTTCATATATTGTTTAGGTTTGTAAGCTCACCAGACAGTCTGGACATATTGTTTTTTTGCTAGGTTGTCTGTATATGATTTTTTTTTTTATAGCTCGGCACATCATTGTTGTACTTATTTATTAGATATATTTATATATCCTTAGTGCTTAGTAGCTCATTTGCACTTTTGCCACTGGCGCTGATCATTTTTTGTTCTTTATAGATATACTCAACAACTGTTGATTAGTTATGAGCCCATTCAAAACTATGACCGCCCCCTCCCAGCCCGATTAGTTGGGGGAGAGGTGCATTCCTTACCCTTTAGCTATACATCTCAAAGAGGCAGTTAATGCTCCCCGCCACAACTGCCACCACTGATTGGGAAGAAGGGAATTGTCAGTCACAGTTTTGAGCAGGCTTGGGCGAAGTGACAGAAACTTGGTTCGCTCCAAGCCCAGGCTAATCTCTACTGTTGATATAAGTATCAGCCACGTAAGGAGTGCATTGTTTTTAATGAGTCAGTTGCGCCAAGTTTTTTGTTAAAACAGTAACGCATGTTGAATTGATCTTTTACATCAGGTCTTTTGTTTTTGTTTCTCTTATCTGATCTTGGTAGCAGCTTGGTACAGATAACAAATATATTGATTCAAAAATATGTTTGGAGATTGTTAGAACTATGAGATTAGTTTCTGATCCTGATAAAGTATAAATACACTAAGCTGACTCAGTACAGAACTCAGCTGTACAGAAGATTTGAATGCAGTGTCTAGTGAAATGTAGGGGTATGTCAGTGTATAATATTCATTGGTTTTTTTTTTTTTTATGGTGACTTGCATCTTTAGATTCCCCAACCTGTTGGTAAAATACAGTACACTTTTTTTTTTCTGGTTCAATAATAAACGGTTTACAGAGGTATACACACAATTGATGGATTGGTTCATATGCAGTATGTCTTTTATAGCCATAGACGCCTTTTCTCTTTAATACTGTAGTTTTGCTTTGACCTGGGGTGACCCGTGCATTTTTTTTTTCAATTTTGTTCTTCACAAAAGCCATCCTGCTGATGAATGAGGTCTGCCACAGAACAGGTTGTATGCCAGTTTTTGTGGCCTGTTTCTTCTGGTCAGCCAGTGTCTCTCTGTGTGCTTCCTTTGAAGCCGTGCCAGTATTTTTTCCAGCTCATTGCACATTGTGCCATTGTTCCAGTGTTCTATTTAGTTTATTTTGCCGACATATCTCCGATAGCATCAATCTCAGCAGCTGAGGATTCAGATGAACCTGGAAAAAATAATTACCCAGCATGTAGGTTGTTATTATTCACAGGCCTGTGTACTTGGCAGTGCAGTTAGGGCCCTTTTTTGAAGGTTAAACTCGGCTAGAGATGCACATTTTCTTCTTCAGCCATGCTTGAGGTTTTGCATCCTGCTGATGCCAGGATTATATGTGCCAGTTCATCTGAGAAGCACAATGTAGCAGAAGGATTGTCCTAATTGTTTCACTAATATGTTTTATCTTTCCTTTTAAAGTAAACTTAAAATCTCATATAAGCTTTAACGTGTTAAAGGTATTTTCAATATTCGTAAATCTGCAGGTTTCATTAAAATAATATGTGGTGATCCTGCCATGAAGTTCTTTGTTTAGACACTCCCTGTTATCGGGCGACAAGGCTCTGTTCTTATGTACAAATCATTCTCCTGCATTATCACCCGAGCTTCCAAAAGAGGCTAGAAGTGACTGTTTTAACACATATTATGCAAGTTTGGACAGCTATTGTCACCATCAGGAAACCTACCCTGAGAAATACCATGGAACTATCACTGGAGTACATAGTGACAGGAAGTGACTGCAGAGAATGAGATAAAAGTGGAGAAAAGTATTTTATTTACAAAAAAAAAGAAATATGCCATTTATTTATGAAACTCAAGGATTTTACAAACTAACTGTCATTCTGTTAGGATTTACAGCTAATTTTACGCCTCTAAGCTAATTTGTTGCCCATCCGAGAGCGCTGTTTATATGTTTTTTCTTTTTTTCAGCTAATTTTCAAGACAACCTTACCATACTGCTCCACATTGCAGTGCACCAACC